CCCATATTCGAAACAGTTTAGTTCAACTTAACGCCATTCACTTCCCTGCTCCATCCGTTTCTGATCCCCCTCTTTCTCCTTATATTCTCTCAAACGTTTCACTCGGCTAATTCGAATGTGTTACCAGCACACTCGCAAACTTTGTACTCATTCCCTACTCCAGCTGTTTTTTTCCGCGCGCTTTCCGCTTTCACCAATGCAATATTTCACATGGATATGGAAGGACCAATTCCTTCAGTTTACTTCCCTTTAAATTGAATAGGCTCCTCAACTTTCGCCGAATTTTATCGACTTCATCCTCTCTCAGGCCACACTCTAAGCACACATTTCTGATTCTCGGTACTGGAATTCAGGTGACATTTTTTGCCGGTGTAATGGCGCTTGGCGGTAAACGAGAAGCTGCTGGTTATCATTGCGTATTTGTGTGGAAAAAATTGCCGCAGAGTATGATTGAGCAGGTTTGCTTCTTGGTGCTTCTGGCTACCAGTTCATTTATCATAGTTAATTGAAAATGGGCTTCTCTCATGGAAAGTCAGTTGCAGACGAAGCAAGCGCGAACGCCGTCCGTGACGCATACTTTGTTCTCAGACTATATTGCGCCATTTTTATGTAATAAGCTAACGCGTATCAGCCTAATTGGTATCTATGGCCTGTACATTGCTGGAGCTTTTTATGGATGTTCATTGCTGAGGCCAAATCTAACTCCAACTCGACTGCTGGTTGACGATTCACCGTTAACTCACTACCTGAAATTAGCTGAGACAAAAATTTGGTCGGAAGCAGTGGTTGGCAGAGTTTATGTCAACAATGCGCCCAATTTTGCCTCCGACCCAAAGCAGGTAAATTTGCGAGTCACATAGCTTCTCTTTACACCTTTTTATTTTTTTCATTGGTGCTCAGTTCACTGCAGATCAACATCATGCTGAGACTCGCTGAGGAGCTGGAAAATACTGCTTATTCAGTCGGAGCAAATTCCACACAGTTTTGGCTTCGTGAATATCTAAACTATCGACAATACTTCGAAAGTAGTGATGAGGAATTTTACGATACGCTAGAATCGTTCCTCAAAATATCGTTTAATTCGCACTGGAACGCGTACCTACTGTGGAAAGCAGACCCGACAAAAGTAGGCTTCAGACGAACTTCAGCAACTTTTCTTTTGGCGCACAAATCGGAATTTTCTTAACTCACAAAAATTTAGCCAAAGAAACGATATGTAAGCCGTTTCTTCTTCACTACAGCTTTCAAAATCAAGGACTGGACCGTACGCACAACGCTGCTTCTACAGTGGCGCAATATAACTCGCCGCTATGCCAGCTACGAAGCATTGGTTTTTGACGAAAACAATTTTTATTCAGACCAGGCAAGTTGCTCTGAAATGCATGTTCAGAGGCGAGTACGGAGAAGCCAAGACGATAAAAAACCCCCTTCATGCATGCTGAGCATGATTTGCACACAGATTTTATGATATAAGTGTGTCAAATTTTTACTAATTATTTGTTTGCACATAGTTAAATTTAGAACATTACTGTTGTGCATACCTGTCTTTCATCTAGTTAGATCACCTTCATTTGTTTCTTTTTTCCATTGTTTTTTTTTTTAAATTAAACCTTTCTTAGCCTTTTAAAATTATAACCAATTCTCTTACACAAATAAATTTCACCTTATTTATTTATTTTAACGGAACAAGAGTGTCGGCTACTTTGTGCCAAAA